GAAAGCAGGTTATCAAAACCATCCAGGGCAGCCTTTAAGATGTCCTGGTGAGAATGCCAAGACTCCATGAGAGCCCCTAGTGGGAGCTGGAGGAAAGGCCAGGACCGCACCATGGCTTTCACTGTCTCTCTGTGTCCCCCGGTGACAGCGGCCATGAACAAGGGGGGGAAGAGTTGTGTGGGCAGCCACTCGAGTGCAGCAATGGCCGAGGTCTTGTCCTGCAACACGCTCTGGATGGCAAGGTCCAGGAGCCTGGGTGGGTTCCTGCTGCTCATGCTGATCAATCTGCTCCAAAGGGAGTCCTGACCTGTGAACGAAAAGAGGAGTCTGCTCAGACTTCTGGGACAGCCACCCTGGTTGTGCCAGCACTTTAAAATCTGGAACCTGCCCCCCTTAGCTCCTCAGAGGGAAGCTTTCTGGCTAGGACACTCCTGTGGTCAACTCACAGTGGTAGAGGCTGGCAAGATTTTAAACTGGATACTTTCTCAGACTGACGTGGGTCCTGAAGTTGTAGACTCCAAACAGGCAGGGCCGATGGTGGGCAGTGACTTCCGCAGCTGGGGAGGTGCATAAATCAAAGATCAGTAGGAAATATGGTGGTTGCACCTCCAGTACTGGACTGTCCATCAAGGAGACACCCAGTCAAACCGCGCTGCTCCCAGGACTGCCTGTAGGAGGGTGGGGGTACTCCACTCTCCAATGCACCCTACCTGCACGCAAGATGATCTACTTCATTGTTCCAGGATCTCAAGGGATTTAATGAAGTGTTTATTGGTGGTTATTTTTTAGGGGGGGGGTTGCATTTCAATGTTATGTTTACCCTCCCGAAAAGGAAATGTTCAGACCTAACCCCCAACATAAAGGAGATTTTGGGGAGCTGGTTATCTGCAGGCCAATATAAAGCTGAGACCATGAAGCTGAAGAAATGAATCCAATACACAAGAGTTCAAATATAACCTGAGACACATCCGCATGAATGTCAAGACCCTCTCAAGAGCAGATATGATTATTGAACACTAACTACCGGAAACTGGACCAGCTGTGGAATGACATCATAGTATCACTATGAAGAGAGCAACATCATTCACAAGGCAGAACAGGGAGAATGACCAAGGTGGACATCAAAGAGACTCTGAATTTTGCCACTGGGAGAATCGTAGCTAAAGCAAATGGAAGAAATGATGAAAGAAAGAGCTGAACAGAACATTTCAAAGACAAATTGAAGTATTAAAGTGAAACATGCTGCCCGGGGGGAAATCATCAAAGTTATAAGAGTGAAAAGAAAGAGCATGTCATTCTCTAGGTGTGGTGGAGAAAAGAGAGGTGGGAATAGGCTTGCACCCCAAGAAAGCTTTGCCTGACATGATCCAATGAAAATTATAAAGAGAACGGTTAATATAGAGTCTGTCTTCCTTAAAATCTCTTCTTTTGGGGGACACGGTGTTGGGGGCCCCCCGTGACAGTTTGAAGACTAAGGTTTAAACTTGCTCTTCAGACATGAGCATTTTGGCAGAAGTTTTGTGGGTTCAAATAGATGACAGCCATGATCGTGCCTTGATGATTTAGAAGAATCTTTATTCGGTTATCACCTAAAGGTGACTCTTTGGTTGCAGTCCCAAGTGGACATCTCAGTCCATCTTTAAAGGCAAAAAACCCATAAGTCTAAGACTCAATCAACAGTGAATAGATTCACAAAGCAAAATGAATGTTATTCTATAGTTAGTGAGCCTTACAGGGTACAGCATTGATATAACATCCTGGTTCATAAAATAAAAGTAGCAATATCCTGGTTACAACTTCGAAAGGAACATTATTGATAACAATGTTCTGATCTGGAGAACATAAGCCGCACTTTAAAACCGATCGCTGTCCGTCCCCCACCCCCACCCCGGAACCATCGGACCAGTTGCTTTCTCCTGCGCATTGTTCATCCAGCCAATCTCTTCTGGATCGACCTGCAGAGAGAATACTATTCACCACAAAACAAGGCATAGAAGACAAAGCGACAAAAGAAAACAACGATGACAACAGAAGGGTCGTGGGGAGGAGGCGAGCCAGTCAGGGTGCAGGGTAGCAATGATGTAACATACAACTTTCCTCTAGTTCCTAAATGCTTCCTCC